ACATAAAAACACGGACAGCTCTTCATCAGGAAGCACTTTTTCCTACAGAAAAACAAGGAGGTCTGTACCAGCTTAATACTTTCATACCAAACTGCTACAAGCACTGTCTTTTCATTCACACATTTTGGGTTGATGCAAAGCAAAACAACTGCTAGGAGATGCTTTCACATGTTCGTAATCCTCCCTGCAACATATTACAATACCCCACTTCTGGTACAGCAACACAGTGGCCATTTCTCACAGTTCATCAGCCTGTAAAACATCTGAACCTCCCAATGTGACGCCAACACACCTCAGAAGGAACTCTGCACATCCCAAGTGTTCACAGACTTTCAGTCGTGCTGTTAAACACACTGGGGTTTGAAGGAGGCAGAGCCAGCCAGCAACTTCCACAGGTTGTCATGTAAATAGAAAAAGCCTGCTCGCTCATATTGGCCAAAAGACTTGTATCTACCAGATAAAGCCATTTAGAGACTAAGTAGCATACCAAATAAATCAAAATAGAAAGGTGTCATAAAAGTAAGTGCATGATAACGTCCTCGTTTTGGCATCTTTTTTTTTTCCTGTAATACTATGAATTCTCACAAACTGAATGAGCAAATGCTAAACACATTTGATCACCAACACCCTCGCAGAGGAGCAAAGCAAACCTGTTGCTTTTTCCAATACCAAGCATCAGGCACTCAGAGCAGCAGTAGATGGGACAGCTCTTACCTAAACCCAGCCTGCTAAAGCTGCCAACACTGGGGGCTGCACCCTTAATGGCAACAGAGGATATTTAGTTTACACTGACCACATAACAACTACTGCAACCCCTCAGTCTCATCCAGATTCAATGTGTCAGGGCAAGGTTTCTTAGGGAGAGCACCCTTAGTGCTGTTGGTCCAATTATTATTTTGGGGACAGAGAGAGGAAGGACATGGCTGGAGTGCATAAAAACACGTGCTTGCCTGGTGCAGGAAAAGTATCTATTCTGCATACATAAGACTTTGAATACTGTAACTAAGCAGCCAAAAGAAAGAGCAACACAAAGCTCTTCTGCTTATAACACGCCATTGCGAGGCAGAGGCTTTGAGCACTTCTCTTAAGAGACGTCCACCAGGATGTGGGCTGGACAGGGATCTCTAAAGGTTCCCTAAAGTACTCTCTAAAGGCTCCCCAAAACAAGACCACACCATCAGCATTGGTACACATGCTCCAAACAATCTCAGTACTAGTTGTTCCCCTGTCCCTCGGAGATTTTGGGAAGAAGCTGGTATTTATGCATCCCAGCCTACTACCAGCAGAAAGACAACTGCAGCCCTTTAACGTGAGCTACAGATGAATTTAACAGCCTGGGTGAAGATTGATTTCCCTTTTCACCTTAGTAGCAACTAGTGCAAAGGCCAGTGTAACTGTATATCTTAAAGCGGTTCTTTCCTACAGGCAACTAAAATTTCCTAAGGCCATAATGAAAAGTAACTATTGTGCCTCTAAAAATCAGATGGGAGGTAGGGGCGCTGGATAATTGCAGGAAGAGATTTCCCAGGATATATGCAGCCATAAAATCCCAAATTGTGTTGAAATAGAAATGCCTCTTCCAAACTATTTCGCCATCAATGCCTCAGATTTCAGCCTAAGCCCACTTTTACAAAACCAATATTCTTGAACACTCATCAGAAGTAAGAAACGGGTAGGACAGGGTAATGGAAGACTCTTGGGGGACCTGCCCACACAGGAAATGAGCACAGACCAGAAGAGCATGACTAAATAGTTGAGACTTCAGAAAACACTAGGCTTTGCAAAAATGACCACCGAGGATATCTTATTTTAATGTCTTTGGTAGAAAGTGCTTCCTCCCGAGTAGCAGAGACAGGACAGCTCTTTAATCAAGTTCCTGATGGTGTTTGACGCGTGGAGAATTTCACTCCAGCCCTCCTGCCCCCACTGTTATTTCTAGCACGCCTTTGTGCTCTGCTCTGACTGCTAACCTGGCCCCTGCCCTCACAGCACAAGCCTCAGCACATGGCAGAGTTACCAACAGGTTTATGATGCATAATTTTATAACTGACATATGAAAAAAACCAAAACATGATAGATCAAGCCAATAAAAAGGAGGGCTTTGTACACTATCAGAAACAAAATTCCTGTCCTCAGGAAAACTGCACAAGGACAGAAAAACAGTGACCCCTTAGGAGCTTGCACGTGTTTCCTTTCTGCCACCCCTCATCTTATTCTATGTTAAAAGCAGAGAACACATTAAGATTGATTAATTTTATTCATTAATCCACTCAGAAGAGAAGTTCACTGCTTTGGTATTCAGTATACGAGGACCCAGCACAGGAGGGAGTCATGGGACAAGTCAAGCAAGTAGTTCTCTCTCTCATGAGAAAAATGGGGAATCTCTTGGGCTGAGGATTATGAACTGTGATTACTTTTGCAATCCAAGCAACAATCCAGAAAGACCTACAGCAGAAAAGTATCTGGGTCTCTTTGGAGCCAGACTGCAGCATAAAGATCAAGAAAGGGTGGCCAGTGAGTTACAACACATAGCTAAACTTTAAATGTTCTATCCTTGAACTCTGTGCTGAGGACACAGAGTAAATAACTTTCAACAGCTCTGCTTAAAGTTCAAGGCAACCCTTATCTCTGGCAAGGATAAAACTCTCTTTAAATATCCACACTATAAAGTGCAATGCTAATGAATATTACTTTGATTTTCAGAATTGAACGTACCCACTCGGTCTTTACAAACATTTTTATTTTCCTAGTACTAAAGGCAAACTTTGCCAACACATGTTGGACTGAAGCATACATGAAGCGAAAGCTATATGCTCTGACACTCCTTGACAGATGAGCACATTAGCCTGAGCTAACTCAGGAATTTGCAACGTAGGAAGCCGTTCTTGCCAGCTGCACACACCAAGAGTTTAGGTGTTACAGTCAGACACAGCTGGATTTCTCAGTCTAGCAGCTGATCCCCATGCTAAAAATACCACTTGACATTGGCAACATGTTTTAGTACCATTGGCCTGACAAAAGAGTATCTAAATACTGGATACTTTTTTTTTTTTAAAAAGCTTCTAGGATTGTCAAACCTTTGGTAATATTTAAAAAGTAAACTATGATCTTTACACAGGTTTCTACAGCTTTCAGTTTCATAAATAACATCACTTGTCTGCAAGATGGCTACCTCCAGCAGTAGCCTGAGATAAGCCAATTCCATCTAAAAAGAACAATTAGGAATGTATTTTCGTAATGTATTTCGCAAGGGCTCATCTTGGTAACTTTCAGAGTGGTCGGTTGAGCAACGTGCTGAGAAACACTTTCCTCCTTCAGCTCTCTGCCTTTCGCCCAGATATCACAGGACATTTCCAGACAGGTGATGCATTTACACAGCCAGCATTGTACAGTCTTGGACACCCACTGCGTGAGGGGACAGTGATTTCCCAAAGCTTGCAAAGGCCCTCAGTTGCCTGCAATATCCAAGTTCGTACAGCAAAAGACCTCCTCGTGTTCCTTCTGCGGGCAGCACTGTATTTGTTGATAGGCCTGCACAGGTTTATATTAAGGAACCCCACAGGCACGGATTTCATTACAAAAAACACCATTAGGACACCGGAAAGGAGGGGGGGGGAAAAAACTGCAACAGCAATGCACCAAAGTAATTTTTCTTCCCGAAATGACCTCTTGCGGGCTCGGTTCCCTGTTTCACAGGGAATCCGAAACTCAGACCACGTACACACATGCGGAGAGTAAAGGAGAGCGCCGGAGCCCTGCTGGGATCAGAAAACGCCAAAATGCACTAAAGCCTTCAAAAAAATTAAAAAGGAAAAAAAAAAAGGAAGCGAAGACGTCGGACCTCATCATTCTTCCTCCCGCAACTTTAGCGGAGCGCTGAGCGGAGGTTTGCGCTGGCGGGGACCCCTTGCACAGTCCCGCCGCTCCCGCCCGGTTCCCCCCGGGATCGCGGAGCGGGCAGAGCCGAGCCGGGCCGGCGGGGGCCCCGCCGGGATCACGGACAGGGCTGCGGGGAATATCCCGCACATCGCACCTCGGCTGCTGCTGCACCCACCGCTGCCCCCGAGCCGCCGGGAGAGAGAGAGAGCGGGGCCACAACACACAGCTGTAGGGAGCCGAGAAAAACAAATCGCGTCAGCTTACCTTTCAGGAGCGCCGACATTTTCGCTCTTTAATCAATAAACACTCGGCCAAACACAGAGTGCCCCGCACCGGGGGGTTCCGCCCCGCGGCTGCCGCCCCTGCGGAGGCTGCGGCGGGAACGACGGCGACCCCGGCCTCCCTGGGAGCTCCCGCCCGCCCGCCGCGCTGCCCCTCCGCCCAGCGCTCCCTCCCGGGCCGGCGGGCGGGCGGCGAACGCCGAGCAATTTAAATTTCATCAATGGAAGAGGCGGACCCGCCGCGCCCCGGGTTTCACCACCCCCGACCCTCCCCTCCCTTCTCCTCCCCTCCCCTCCCCGCCGGGCCGCCCGCCCGCCCGCCCGCCTCCCCCGGGGGGCTCCCGGCGCGGCTCCTCCCCACTCCCGGGGGG